TGGAAAGAACAACGTTGACTGCCAATCATGACCACGAAGTATGTTTTGTAGAACTACTAGACCAAAGAAACTGTTATTAGCGTCTGTAAATCCAAGAAAATATTGCATTAAAAATAGCTGAATAATTGAGTTGCCTAAATAGCACAGTTTTACAAACAGATACATTATTGATAAGAAAGTTCCAGTGTAACGAATACACTTGAGAGTATTAACTACATTGTAATATTTACTTTTAACACTGAAGGCACCAAGACTGTCTTCATCACCATCATCCGTATATCGCATAACATCATTGTGATAAGCATCACTGTCTCCTCCATCTCGATAATGTCTGGTAGGTTGTTGCCCATTGACACTGGTTGTGACATTTGCATAGAAATCTGTATGTGATCTATGTTTGTGATGTGAATAATACGACTTGGACATAAGCCGTTGCTTTTGTTGCTACAATCATTCTCATGCAAAGCAGTTTTCACCAACATAAAACGAACACGAATGAAACAGTGTCCAGGATGTCAACAGACGGATAAAAACCATTCAAGAGTATGCATGTATTAGTTGGATTCAGGCATGCATGGAAGGCGTGCAAATGTTTGAGTGTATTTTTGCATAGAACAGACAGGCAGATAGAACACGAGCATGCATGAAAAATAGAGAAATTAACAATGTAAGCGACAGATATTTTCCACAAAACAAATCTAATACAACATAATAATAATAAATAATAATTAAAAGTGGATTACATATGTAATACAAGTTAAGAACAATGCAATCATTGTTCTGTTGCTTTGTGTTCCAAGTGAAACATACGGTTTAAATTTTGTTCTTGGAAGTTTCCTTAGCGGTAGTGTTATTTTTACGGGGTCGGGGGTTTCTAGCTTTGTCCTGCCATCTTTATCAGGTTTACTACCAACTAAGCGAGTCAAATCGAGGTCACATGGGTGGTTAGCGAGTGCTCTTAGAACTGAAACACCAGCGCACAATGCTATCACTATTCAGATATAATTACGGTGCATACTACACAGTCTATCCACCAGACATGCGAGATATGATGTGTATTGCAATCAACAATACAACACTTAGCTAATACATAAAAAGATGCGTATTGCCATTATTGCAGTAGAATAATAAAAAAGCAAACTGCAGAGAATGATATTTTCAACTGAGTGACTGATTAAATCAATTGTTGATATAGTTTACCGATGAAATTGGACAGTTCAATAAAGCTGGAATCATGCATGAACTATTAACACATGATGACGAATCAAAACCTGGATGCTTCAACTCACTCTAAGTATATTCATCCTTTGAGCTGTTTGACTAAAAATAATATACAAAAATAACACAGGCGTTGAGACTGATATAGTGTGTCGAACGCTTCTTCACTCATCTGGTAACACTTTTTGAGGGTTCAAGATCTTTTGCGAAAGCTAATCATGTGAGAAATAACAGCGATTTATGCATATCTATAATGACTGTAGTCGTTGTTGAAGATTTCTGGTTGTTTTCTTTTATGTTACGGTAGTTATATATGTGATGTCACAGAAATATTCTGGAGCACCTTGGAAGAAATGGTTAGCTAGTAACTTTTCAGTGTCCTTTTTTACTTCATATCACTTAGATATTATTATTATTATCAACATAATAATTATTGTCATTAGTACTGCACACCATAATTCAGTGGGGAGCTACGCTTCTTGTACAGTGGAAAGACTATTTCCCGACAATGAATCAGTACAACTATATGATAAATGTTACCTACACATTGGAATCAATCATATATCTAAAGGAGGATAAGTTAAACAGTGATTTGGAAAGCAGTCCTACTCAGAAACACAATTCATTATTAATAGAAATTGTGACCAGGATTTGAATATCAATCGAAGTACACTTTTAAGAATTTGTAAGAGGAAATTTGGTTTGTTTTTCAGTGAACCCATATAAAACTTGATATTCACTTCTCTATTTCAGAACTGTGCGTGATAAGTAATACAAGCAGCTGAAATTTAAATATTATTTGAGAAGAATTCCATCTAAGCTAACTAGCATCAATAAAAAGTAGAAAACCACAAGAAAACCTGGAGTACTGGACAGCTGTTTCGTCCTAGTTTGTTATCTTCAGCAGTACGCACCCACAGGGGTTCGAACCCAGGGCCTCTGGTTACAAGGCCAGCTCGTAGACCATTGAGCCACTGGACCCGATCCAATGGTCCTTGAATTCTAACTTCTGCCAATTCACGATATAGCGTGACCACTTCGCAATGTCTTCTTCGATGATTTACTGCCTCATCTTCAACCTGCTGTCCCAGTGGCTTAATGGTCTACGAGCTCGCCTTGTAACCAGAAGGTCCTGGGTTCGAACCCCTGTGGGTGCGTACTGCTGAAGAATCCCAAACTAGGACGAAACAGCTGTCCAGTACTCCCAGGTTTTCCTGTGGTTCTCTAACTGATGTCAGCTCATGATGAAATCCTCCATGCAATCAAACAAAATCCCTACAAAACCAATACTTGAAAAATTAGAAAGTTTTCTACACAGATTGATCATGAATAGGGGACGAATGTGTGTATCAAAGATGAAAATATACTGGCCAAATTAACCCTATGGAGCATTTTTAGTTGTTCAATTTCCATCGCGATCAAGGACCCTTCAGTCATTAAGACCGATTAAAATTCTTACTTTGCTAAGATATTATCCAAATATTCAGTCACAAGATCTAAACGAAGTTCAGCGACTCAGATTCCTGCATATACCTTAACTTCAGAATGTGCCACACATAAATAACTTTGTTTCGTGAAGAAAATACAGCGAACATTGTAAATTTGACTTATGAACAATTTTCTGATTACTTGAGAACACGCGATAAATCATTATAAAGAATTGAAAACCATAGGCACACAGAAAAATTTCAATCTTGTTTCAAGAGGATGGAAAGGGATGTTTGGATTTCCCCTTATCCTTCATCACACTTTTAAAGTTAACAGATCGTAAGTTTTTGTCATTTCATATAGAACTGGGAAGATACACAATTTTGAGGAGAGTGTACGCAGTCAAAAGCTGATTAGAATTGGTGGCGGGAGTGATGAACCAAAAATGAAATCAAATGCCATCTGTTTCAGAGGTTCCGTTAATATAATGACAATAAACTTTGGTGTCATTCAAATTTCTCTGAAGATGAGGATATCTTTCTGCATTCATGAGAAAACTGATGCATGACTAGGAAATGTGACCTTATAAAATGCCCACCTACTCCTACTTGAATGCCATGGATAAACGGTATACGTATTGAACTCACTTCCACTTATTGCCCATGAAAATGATAATTAATCAGATAAAATCATTAACAGCAGCAGAAAAGATAAAGTTAAGGTCAACGCCTACCTGGAATAGTAACTGTTCTAATGTTTTTGCTAAATGTTGCACTATTTTAATTTTCTCCTCCTCATTAGCGTGTACTGCTTGATTAGCGCTATGCACTAGGTGTTGTATGTCTGTTCCAACTCTGTTGTAGCAGATCATTTGCCAGATTAATCGTGGTAGATAAAACATTATACACTGTAGACCAAGTACAAATGGCACCCACTGATAATAAACTGTGTGGTTAAGAAAAGAAAAATAAACGAATTATCTTTTCTTCTCTGTACACCAATTCAGTAATGAACAAATGCAGAAAGATTTAATGCTTATCCATTATATAAAAAGTTGACATCGACAACAAAACTCATAGGTGTAAGTACTACATCCTGATCTCAAGTCTGTTGAATTCAAACACTTCAGTACTAAGGAAGAACTAGTTGGGTATTCTGAAAGATTTGGACTTACCATAAGTGATAAAACCTTCAGATAGAAACAGTGTGTTTTATATGTAATATTCTTCAGTCCTCTATACAAACGAACATAATGCTTTAATTAATACGATATGAAGTAAAATACGATCCATCTGCTTATTACAGTTTTGAATATTATGAGTTACATTCTATACTGTGAAGACTCATGTTGCCAGCTGTGCCTGTGTAACACAGCTGAAGTAGTTAGAACATTGCGAGTTGGTTATTTATACTGCCTAATATGTGAAATCCTAGACATATAATCTAAAATAATTTGGACTCTAGGGACCGTAGTAACAATTAAGTTTAGACTTAATTCAAGGACATTCTAATACAACATAGTGAGGCTTAGAGGATAATGATATTTACTGATAGTTTAATGATTAAATAGTGACTAAACATGTTCAGCACTATCAGTATCATATGCAATGATGAAAGCTATCTTGAGGTCTTTTCCCGCACAGTGTTGCGGATGCCACAACAGATGTTTCAACTGTGTATAGAAATTTTACAAGGCACCTGTATAACAACCAAATGTGACATCTGATATGATTATAGCATTCATCTGAGCACGTGACGCAAAGTCATATCAGACCAACTGCCTAAGGAAATTCAAACCGTAAGAGACCGCTTCCGTTCTGCCTACTCAAGTATATTGAGACAAGAGTATGGTATACGCGAAATCAAAATGAGGAGTGGAAACCTTAGGACGAAATTCTCACACAACAAATCATGTGCTGGTAATCATTATCCCTCTCCAGATAGTCAGTGTATTTCTCTAGGCCCTCAGAATCCGTGTAATTGTATAATCGATATATCATCTTCTGATTGCAGCATATACGTCGAGTAAATTGGATATTCAATTGGCTTAGCTATTAAATCAAATACTCTGGACCATAAAACAGTATACAAGGCATCTTTAAATTAGTAGAATTCATAACATGAAATATAAATCTGAATTGCTCAACTATAACTTGCTAGCATAAAGGGAATTTCCTCACCCTACCACTTGATACTTTCTCCTTCACAAACTTATAGATGAGCCACAATGATAGCTGAGAAAACTTTTAGGAGTAATATGAATACATTCTATACAACGAAAGCAACATAAATAAATATATTATTGCTCTTGTCGTCAAAGTAATGAACAAAACAGATGAAGCTCTGGAACTCACGTAGTTTATGTTTTTCTAATTCTTCCCAACCTGCATCTGTTTCTGGTACTTTTCCTGAATATGTTATAGGGACTGTACCCTGGACCCAGCAGTAGTTTTCTACATAATCCAATAAATTTTTTCCGCCCAAATCTGTCGCCATATAACATGAAATTGGCTTCATCATATATTGTTTAACAGTAACAATTGTTGCACAAAGAATCAAAATCAAAGTTGTAATAAGGAAATTGAATTTGTCTGCAAAATCCTCAACGCCAACATAGGTAGTGACTTGAAACTTGGATAAGTAGTCTATAAAATCTGAGCCGATCATCTCAGCTATGACAAAGCGATGACATCTGTCAGTATGATATACATAGTACTAGTCAGCCAGTATAAATGAAGTGTAATTGGATGGAAGGATAAGGGGAATCACCAGCCAGTAAAAGGTCAACCAATAAAGTCAATATTTGGATTCATTGGCTTGCATATTATTGGATAGGATGTCATGATTACGTAATCGGAACTTATGCATTAGTCATTCATATGTGGTCTACAAAATGATTGGCTCTTTCACAATTGCCGTGAGACTGAATTTCAAATTAATGATAGTATACTACTTCCTTCAGAAATATGTGTGATTTTTATGCGTCTTTTACTCAGTACCTGCGTCAATAATCTACAACTCATAAGGCCATTACAAGCAGTCAAAACCAAACTCAGTGACTTATCAAATGTTCAAGTATTGTTTTTGTAGGGATTTTCTTTGATTGGTTGAAGGATTTCATCATGAGCTAACATGATTTTGAGGACCGTTGGAAAACCTGGGAGTACTGGGCAGCTGTCTCGTCCTAGTTTGGGACTCTTCAGCAATACGCATCTAATGAGTTTCTAACCCAGGATCTTCTAGTTACAAGGCGAGCTCGTAGACCATTAAGTCACTGTGACCCGATCCAATAGCCCATGAATTCTAACTTCTGCCAATTCATGACATAGCGTGACCACTTCGCAATGTCTTCTTCGATGGGTTATGGACTCGCCTTCAACCTGCCGTACCTTAATGATCACAGCTTCCTACCAGAACCCCAGGTCACTGCCTAAATGGGGCTCGAACCCCGGTAAGTGAGTACTGTGAAGAGTCTTCAACTAGGACGTAACAGATGTCCAGTACTCCCAGGTTTTCCAATGGTTTTCTAACTGATGTCAGCTCATGATGAAATCCTCCAACCAATTGGTTAATTCACCGGTGTTTTATGTTTAAATAATTTGTGAAAATTAGATTAGTCATCATTTATCTACTCATAGACTGTCTAAATAAAATTTTGATCCTGTTCCACAAGAAAATTTTACAAAACAGTCGTTCATTGGAGATGTCTGAATATTAATCAAAAAACGGACTTGATTGGGACTCATGACCTATATCAAGACAGAGAGAAATCAATTAATCTAGTTTGCTTCATATGTGAATTTAAAAAGATATGATTATTGCAACTCTGTAGTCATTTCCGCAAAAGATAACCTGATTCTTTAGTTCTCAGTTAGTAAAAATATAACATTTCAGAATGATGAATTGAACAAGAAAAGTGTACTTTCCAGGAAAAACCTAATTGTTCTGCAGCTATATATGTATGTAATCACTCAGATGTCAGTATTTCTATGAGTTAGTTTGTAGGAATTTGATTTATTTCGAGTGTGATCACGAAATGATGTCACTTAGACACCTATTTTGTCCCACTCTGTGACTCTTTAGTGTGCAAAGTGAGGTGGGAACCCAGGACCCCATAGTTCCGCCTCAAGCTCTTAGACCATCCAGTCATCAGGACGCAGTCCAGTGACCTAATAATTCCAACTTCTACCAGCTTGTGATTTAGCGCAACCACCAGCCAATATCATTGACGAATATTTGTCCACACACGTGACCTGGTGAACTCCGCTTATTCTTCGACTTCTCACTAGGACTCCGGGCAAATTCATCCTGCAGATAGTCACTAGCAAGATTAATCTTCATCAGTTAGTTTGTAGAAATTAGCCTAACCTCAATTTATATCAGGGATTGAGGCGAGAAAGAAAGAGCTGTCCAGTACCCACTAGTTTCCTTTGGTTGTCTTACTGACATAATTTCGTGATCAAATTTGGAAAAGATGTCAATAATCAAGTTATCTGGGCAACGTGTTCATTGTGGATATAGGAATTCTCGATTAGCATTTAGATAGGCAACTTGAGCAGCTTTCACGAACCTGTGTAGTCTTGAGTTTGTTTTCTGCTTTGTAATCCTGAAGGAACTGAAAACCATCACTTGATGTGTTGATCAAATAATAGGTAACTGAACTGTTTAAATGGTAAAGTTCAAGGCTTCTGGAATTCATCACCGCCACCCACCTCGGTCGAACTACTCCAATGTGATTTGTGCATTCCAAAATAATCATCAGTAGTAAGTGCTTCTGTATCTTTTGTTCACCAACATCTTTTTCTTTATTGACATTTAAATATTCATTTCCTTCAACTCCAGTTTCGTTAAATCATTATTTGTTAACCCTTGTGTTAGTTTTATATACTCCGGAATTAACTAGGGGACTTAATACATAAACAGCTGGAATATGCTACTTCCTTAATATAAATAAAATACACAGAGGTGTCAAACATTTTGATAGGTTGGCCGAATGTATAGCAGACCTGCTTCGACTTGTGTTGGCACACACCAGTTCTGTTTGGCTCTTAAGAATTCAATTACCTGCAACCAGTATTTCACGCAGAAGGCTGTGAACCACAATTATTGTATGGAGATTAATAAATGATACTACTCAATTTATCAGGCTGAAGTAGGTGGGTCGGGATACGAACTTGGGACCAGTTTGTGGAAAGTCAAACACGTATGTCACTAACTCATTTCTTTCTACAAATAATTCTGATTAGTTGAATTACTACATTCTGTTGCGTACAAGTATCCAATGAAGAAACAAAAGGTTATATTTGCTAAGAGAAAGAAGCCAAGCTTACTTAATTGATTTTTGGACTCATGAGATACGAAATTTATAGCTGGGGATTGTCAAGCACTCACTGCCTCAGTAACTAGAAGAGCTATTCCCACCTTAGCATATATAAATAATGAAAAAGCATTTCGTAATTGCTCATATTCCTACCTGCTGAGATGCAAGTGGGTTGTTGTTGTCTTTTTTAACTAGGTGCGGGAAGATTATGAGAAGTAATAAAGAAGAATAGACAGAATGCAAGGGTTAACAGATTGTATATGTAGAGGCTGAGTAATATCAGATTTTCTTAACTTCTTTATGTAGAAGGTTAGACAAAGTATTTTCCTAGTTATTAACAAAATTTTGAAATACTAGGAAAAATCGTGTGGTAAGACACAATCCAAGGAATTTGACATTCAAAATAGTTTTACCTTCATTGTCTTGTATGATGCAAGAACCAGTTCATTTAAACCTCATGTGTGCCTGAAAGTGCAATTAACAAACTGATAATTGGAGGGGTTTAGTTAAAGACCATCTGATAAGGACCACTGTGTAACATTTTGATAGAAAGTTATCAATTTGGGACAGTCAAATTGGAAAATAACAGGAATGAAAACAATCAGATTTTGACTTATAATTCGATCTGAAGCATTTCACAGATTACCACCAGTGGAAATTTTAATATCTCAGATGCTTCATAATAACCAATTGGCACGTATAGCCAACCTGAATGAATACCATTTGAAGAAGTGAGCCAGAACTCAGTCTTTACAGTTTGTCAGTTCTTAGTGTTTAAAGATAATCGCTAAAAGTCTTTCTAACTATACAATATTATCACCCCATTTTGTTTTCTTACCTGATAGTGACTTATACTCATCTTCTCACGTTTAATAACGTGGACTTGTTGCATAACGCTGTAGTAATTTATGCGTAATCTTTCCATGTTAGGAAAATACCACTACCATCAACCTATTAGCTAGGCCTTATTTTATGTTTGTCGAATGATTATTTTCATAAAATGTAACTAAATAAATTCTAAATCAAATTTCTAGCCTGCGTTATTTTATTTATCTGAATGTGATAAATGGACGGGTCACTACATCTGCATCATAAGTTCTAACTTCTGCTGTATTACCATATATATATATATATATATATATATATATATATATATATATATATAGAGAGAGAGAGAGAGTTCGCCTACCAGTGTCATTAATTAGCTAATCTTGCCACATACAACTTGGCGGAATTCACCATTCACAGCTTCCCATCACAAGTTCAAGAAGTCGGTTGCATAGCTTTTAACTAGCGTGCAATGTAAATCTAGCTCGAAATTACTTCACATTAACCTGCTTACATATTTGCATATCATTTTATTTAAATTTATGAAGGTGCTAATTTCAAACAGCCCACAGTAACACTTTATATGACTACAATATTACTTCAGGCATGTGATATAGGATCGCATGAAACCAACTCTCTGAGGAAATTCAAATCATAACTGATTGCCTCTGCTTTTACCTACTCAAGTTTTATTGAGGCGAGAGTGTAACAAGTTTGTTTTGCAATAGCTTTAACCTCACTAGGCTACACTGAAACTTAATCAGTGACGTATTCCATACAACAAAGACTGTCTAGAATCCTCATCGAAGCAGTAATCAGCTAAGATGCCATTCATTCGTCAGTTTGTTGTGATGATGTAATGGGGCTGTTTTAGAGGTGGTGGTGGTCACAGAGACTCGATCAATATAGGGATGATTCAGATTAGTAGAAGGGTGAATCAGTTATCCGACAGGCAAATTACTAAACTATAAATAACACACTAATAAAGTCACAGACCTTTTACGAAGCAATTTTCGGCTGTTTACGTCTTCCTAATGATAATGCAGAACGTTTGTAATATGGAAACCATTAATCCATTTCTATGACAACAAATCAATGTCGTCAACGCCTTTAATTCTCCAAATCATATTCCGTAAATAGAATTTCGGAATAATTATTCTTTGGCCACTAACCAGTGTTCTAAAGTTTATAACTGGCATTTTTGAATTATCTCTGTATTCTATGGTTTTCGAAACTAAAATTGACCTGACAATTATTTGGATGGAGACGAGAGTCATCTGTTACATTTTGCAAGTGTGTATGATAGGCAATCAGTTGTGTTAGAAAGATCACTCAGCCAAAAATACTCTGCCACTGTCTGTCTTTTTTTTAATTAAGTATACTTAGCTTATATTGTATTGATATGACCTCTTTGCTTAAAAACACCCATACGTCACTAGAAAATTCACACTTACACTATGAAACAAAAACAATCGGTGAGTCATCGATTAATTGTCATTTTCTTGGCCGAATGACTAAG